CAGCTGATGACAAAATGTGTCAATAAATAGTTGATCTTCAACATTATTCTCATCAAACCAGCTGAAATAAGAGATGTATTAAATGTTACATCCCTAAAAGTTTTTGATGATGCCTCTGTGTCGTTAGATAACAGCATCGAGAACAGTACACAGTTTACACACCCGTAAACTTTCTCGTTATATTTCAAAGATAAAACATTTTCTTGAGAATATAGAGGTTACAATAACGCTTCTTCGATAGCAGATGGAAATCAACTTTCCAAGATAACAGAACATTAACAGAAAAGGAACAAGACTGAAAGGAACAAGTGCATCTGAAATCACTCAAACGACTTAAGGGATGTTGAAAAAAAAAGCACTTGTAATACTTGTAAATGAAAATAAATACAAAATGAGAAAAACCGCTGATCACTTCTATTCACTGAGCCAACACCATTAGGACCAGTCACCTACGTATAATGGTCACGTCCAATACGAGCATTAAACTTTCCTATGATGATAATTTTAGAATGATGATAATGACATATCTGGTCATAGAATTCCCCAATTTCAGTATTAGAGGATTAAAATATTTCGGCAAAACAACTCACAAAGACAACAGAAGTACTTTTGGTGAGCTCAATGGTTAGCGTCCTAATATGATCAGTGATGAACTTTGGAAGAGACGACATTTATCACACAATTTTAGATCTTATAATTAACCCAACAGCAGCTTAGTGCAGTTCATCAGTGTCCTTACCTAACCAGAAAAAAGTGTAGCTGTCTCCCAATTTTGCAGGAAGGTTTGTATTACTAACAACAGCAATATCTATAGCTATACCAACAGACAGTGTTACAAATCGTGGTAGTTTTCCTTTCGGGGTTCGAATTGTTGTCCGCGGGGATTCTGTCGTTCAATGATTGAAAGGTTTGTTTTCTGTACATATTTTGATTGTAATATTGAATAACCAAACAGCCGTGTTTAATTGCCAAGCTTGTTGCTTTGCCAAGCAATTTTAGGGCTTTTTTCTCGTTCCCTCACCAATTTGAGGAAAGCCTAGCTACGCATTAATAGCCACCATGAGAGGACACGAACGACAAAATTGATAAAAGTTTGTGCATGATTGGCCATCACCTGATAGTCAGCACTATATCATGCGCCAGCTAGGGACCTCCAACAATATCCTTTTCCTGTTCGATTTAACTTTATATTCTCGTCAGTGGCTCTGACGAAGAGCGGATAGGAAAAACAATCTACTAGACACAAGAATTTAACCAAAGTTGTGGAGGCTATATATATATATATATATATATATATATATATATATATATATATATATATATATATATATATATATATATATATATATGCTGAGGTAACAGCAAAATTGTCCAAATCGTGTTACAGCAAACATTGCCCAATTGTTAGATTAAGCTTTGAACTGTTGTATCTTAGAAATGATTAAAGATCTCTTACTAGAGTTCTCTGAGATTTTTATAACACTATTGTACCTCTACTTTGAGCAACAAGAATGTATAACTACTCTCCAATCTTAACTGAAGAATCATGATGAAATTGATCATAAGCGAAAAATGACGCGTTAATCATAGCTAAAGATCAGAAACCCATGAAGGATTGAAATAAAGTATAAAATATATATATATATATATATATATATATATATATATATATATTATTCTAGAATCATATTCAAACGTATTCAAGACGATCTTCGCTCTCTCTAAACTTCTAATTATCTTTCCTGAAGTAACACGTTTCACGTATGATTTCATTTACAAGTTTTTTTTTAACTGCTCTTTGGACTGCCATAGACGAAACTCCTCTCTCATGTGCCAAACGTCTTATGGATTGAGTTGGATCTTTTCTAATTGATCGCTTTAGCTTTAAGCTAAAATGATTATCCTTTTTCCTGTTGTGACATCCTGTGATTTCCTCTCTACTGTTCCCACTTTTTAAAATTTATTTGCCATTCTCTTGATGATTCTTGAATGGACTTTGAAGATGGAAGACAAAGTATGAATGTTGGTACCATTACTGAACGCCTGAACGATTTTTCCTCTCAACATTACAAAGTTGAGAAGACAGTGGGGCTGACACAAAACGATTCAAACCTGTTCTCTTTCAAGCTGCATAAGTCAAAATGTTTTTCAGTAATTCTTACGACAAATAGTTTCAAGATGGCTAAACGTCTTATCTCATAAAAAGAAATTCAATTAGTTTCGTGTTTTTTTAGATATTGAAAATTTTATGGGATGGCCAGTTATACTGTTACACGATTTGGACAATTTTGCTCTTAATTTGGTATATATATATATATATATATATATATATATATATATATATATATATATATATATATATATATATATATAATATTACATTGAAATAAACATAAACAGGGTCTACATTCGCACATACAGTTACGCACAAACACACATTTTCATCCACGTGTGTAAACATATGTGAGAGAATAAAAAAGCAGTACTGAAAGTGTTTTCCCCGCTAGAATGAAAGACGACATTTTACACGATTAGTCTGAGTATTATAAGCATTATAACATATTTAATGTTAAGTTCAACTCATTTATATATAAAGAAACAGGCGCCTCTTCGAACAGATGATATCGTCCATCACTCTGGATGTTATTCAAAGACATCGAATACGATTTGCAATCTTATCGATAATCTTATTTCTTCTAATGGGGAATGAAACAACCCGAAATCTTCATTAGTCAGACTACACCCAGTTATTTCCGATATCCAAAGCGAGTGAGAGAGAGTTAGGGTAGATGTGTTACCTGATAGCATTCCAATGTGACTCGAACCAGGACAAAGAAATTCTACCCTTCTCTGTGTTGTCATGATGACTGCGCAAAATTCCCGCGGTTTTTACCTGACGAGTCTTGATCGCTAGACATTGCACTCAACTACAGACATCAGTATATTGCTTGAAACCAGTAAATGTTTGAATATTTTCTGTTTTAGTTTTAAAGTTAACTTAATTCGATTTCTTATTTCCCACCACGAAAAATACATTTGAAAAAATAATTGGTATCAACCTAGTTTACTCAACACTTATATAACTTACACAGTTCCAAATCACTGATACATCTAGCCCACGATAAAAATTTAAGCACTGACCTAATTAAAAAAAATAACTTATACTTAGCGGTAAACGGCGTCTTGTGATCGTTTCCTCTAAAACACTGTCTGGTAGGAAATAACCAACACTTTTATACGTAGGTGTATCGGTAAAGTGCGTAGTTTAATAATGAAAATGCATTTATTTTACAAAACAAATATTTGTTTTACAGCTTCGTCCCTTGCCTTTAATTCAGTCATGAATCTTACATGCATACATCAAATATTAAAAGTTTTGAAGTAAAATTCATATCATAACTACGTGCAAATCTACGAACTTCATAATCACCCTTAGCGTGACACTTATCAAAATAATGAAATATCAAGTAAATGATATATTACACTAAGTGTATGAAGGTTCATGAACACCTTGCTGGGTAGTAGCACCTGGTAGGGTCCCAGTTATAGGCAAAGAGTTATCCCCCAAACTGGTGTCAAAAAAGGATGAAAGTATTAAAATAGATTTTTATAGTAAAAATATCAGCAAAACATTTATGAAAAAATATTACCAGCAAAATACATTTTTGAAAAAAATATTACCAGCAATAGATTTGACTCGCGACAAAAACCCTCTTTACAAAAATACGTCAATGAAACCTGATCTACAAACTAATTTCTTACAAAGAACAGATATCCTTTTCATATGAACCTATCCTAAAAATATTGTCGACATTAAATAATCCATTGAGAGTGATATGCCATAAAACAAAATACACATATCAATGAACACGTTACAATACGTATATTCGAGATTCAGTGATCTTTTTTGAATGTCTGTATTTGCGGATTAATTAAAATTGGAGTAACTGTCACTAGTTTCATTCTCTTGAAATTGAGAGATAAGGTGTTTTTATCTCAGAACTCAAATGACGAGGATTGTTTGGAAAATGACAACTGATTGTATACGTTCTTTCTGAGATTTTGCTTAAAGGACTTCCGAAAACTGCTTGATCTAACCAACAGTGCTGAATAGTTTGCTGTGTCTTCATGAAAAGATCCATTATATCTACAAAAGATATTAACAGAAAATATTAACTACTGAGATGGTATTTTTTTAGAAATGAAACGAAATTATATATTTTGTGTTTCTACATATTCAGATGGCATGATTTCAAAATTAAAGCATCCTTGCCAATAATTCAAGGCATGATACCACAAGACTTTGTTGGCTTTTCGTCACAACAGCAGATACTGCAGATACATCTTCTCCCTGATCTTGGGCCTCTTCAAATATTTCCTTTTTACTCTGCTGATGGCAATCCGAGTTTAGTTACGTAAGCAGTAATCAGTTAGAGCTTCCAACTTCAATAGGAAATATATTGGTTGCTTAATAACAATAATAATTGAAAAGTAACAAATTAGGGGAAAAAAAGGACAGATAAAACTCAGAAGAAACTCAACTCAAATACTGCCCTTTTTTTTAAAAATATACATGCAGCAAGCTGATTCAAACATTAATACAAAAATAGACTCCATTGCCATGTAGGAACAGGAATACACTAGGAATTGTGCTAACGAATTGGGTTTGACAATGTAAAAAAAATGCATATAATCTGTGAATTTCACATTCAAACCAACCAAAAAGTACATGTGTTAAAACTGGATTTGTAAAAGGCAAGGGGGGCATGCCAAATTGTACACACGATGCTGAACTATAAAGAATGCGGGAAAAGATGGAACAATGCCAAATCCTTGCACTTGAAAGCGTACTGAAAACACTAGAATCGAGATTGAACGAATGAAAAACTAAAGGAATAATTCGGGTCACGGTGGTACAGGAGTCTGCAAGGATATTCAAGAAGTTATCTGAAAGTTCAGGAGATTTGCTATCGCTGAATCTCCAGCGATAACCACCAAAACTATTGTGCAAATAATAATAATAATAAATGAATATAAAGAAGTAAAAAATGAAGAAACAACAAAATATAACGAAGAAATGAAACACCGAAAAAGTAAAAAGAAGCTAAGGATGATGATTTAAAGTAAGAAAGAAAGAAAGAAAGAAAGAAAGAAAGAAAGAAAGAAAGAGTGAAAACTGAGATATCGATGAAGAGTACATTAAAAATAAAACTTTGAAAATGATGATGATGATGATGATGATGATGATGATGATGATGATGATGATCAACTGAAAAAGAGGAAAAACCAAACAATAACAATAATTTCTCGATGTTGATGAACAATGGAAAAAGACAACAGCAAATCAACAAGATTTTAAAAGGGGACGTTGTTTGAAATTTATTTTAAATTCATGCCAAAGTACTCTTGTGGAAATGTTACGAAGTTTTTGGCGGACACTTTAAAGAGAATGACGATCGAGCGAAACGAAGGAGAATAAATAATGGCTGCTACTGGAGATTAAGTGATTCTTGAGGTAAATCGTCTGGAAGGGTGTAATTCAACTTTTTACTATGCGCCTGCGAGTATTGACGAGAAGAATAGCGTTCATTTTCTTTTTTTAATCCCTTTCCCTTCGCTTGTGTTGTCTGCAAAATTTTTGCTAACCGGGTGGGGTTATTTTGGCTTTTTTCTTTCATTTTCCCTTTCGCTTTTTATTTTATTTGTTTGTTGAAATAAAATGTTTTCTTATTCATTCTTTCTTGCTTCATTTGCCAAATGATGTTCTTTTTAACTCTAGAAAATAAAATGGCCGCTATCACATGGCGCCATTGTAAGAAAATATTTTTATGGCTTTATAATGGCAAATGTACAACACAATACGCCAAAATGTATTGTTGATGCAGCGGAGTGTATTATGACTATTTTAAATATCATGACTTGCATTAACATGTTTTTTTTTTTTACTAGTATTAGAAAGACAGTCTTTGTCAATCACTACGCCTGGAACAAGAATATAAAAAGACTGATTAGTTCACATCAATGTGATCAATGTTGCTGGTAAAGAACAATCAAGGCTCTTATTTCTCTGTGCAGACATACAAAAATCCTACTCTATCTTATCACATCTTTATTTTGTTATTATACTTTGATTCAAGAAAAACAATCATTTGTGGGTTTCTTCTTCCCAGGAAACTCCATATATATTGTCCTTAAACCAATTTTGGTCAACACTAATTTGATTATTGGAAAGTCGCCTTAGTCAAAGTTTATTAATTTGTTGGTCTCGATAACTTTTGATACTAAGTGTTTCACAAGTCAATATTTTGTCACACCTCGTTTTGTAGAAAAATATTCACTGGGCGATCTGCGAATATCAAACGAACCTCTTTGCTAGACTGAATGGAAATGATTAAAAATTGTCAGATTTGGATTAAAATTGAATGTAATAGAACTAGAGAAGTAGCCTTATTAATTAACCTGATTGATTATTCTAATGTTTTCATATTATCAAGTAAATAGCATAGTTTCTAGCATTTATCGAAAAAACATTTATTGATATAAATTCATCATTCAGCCATCAATTATATTAGAAACTTACATTAGCCTTCAAGAAAATTGTGTATTTTATCATAAAAGAACGATTACTGTTTTGATTCAGTGAATTCATCGAAGGATTTTTTTCGACATCCTCACGTTGGTAAAAACAGTGACTACACGGGAATAGTTAAATAGAACGAAGCAAATGATAATATAAAAGATGTGGTGCATCACCCGCATGATGAAGAACGGCCCAGTTCAGGTGCGTAATGGTTTGTTCGGTTTAATGAAATACCCCAAACCATTACGAACCAGAACAACAGGAAAAAGTGCGTCGCTCTGCAGCAAAATCAATTTTCTTTCTTGAAAAGTACTTTTGTCATCAAATCATTGAAACTAGACAGTTACTCACTGCAGCGTTCCCAGGTAATTCACAGGTAAGTCTTACTAAAGAATTGCATTAAAAACACAAATAACATTTTTATCAGCTTAGCTTGAAATGTTGAGCGGTTACCTTTCTCGTTTTATGATTGTTTTCGTTTTGTATTCTTATAACAAATCTATATTTTATTGCCAATAATTATAAATGTCTCTTAATCATCGATTGATGTTCATTTCTACAATCGTATGATGAACCCATTTTCTGAGTTTGTGAATTTTTTCAGAAGCTTATGGGAGACGTTCTAGGTGAATGGACAACATATTAAAAAAGATGGCATTATGAAGTTTTTCCTCAATCAAATCAATATGGATATTTTACTGTGGATGCATGGTTAGCAAGCTCGTCAAGTAGACATTTACAGATGATATGGCCTTGAAAAATGTTTGGTTCATTTCTTGGTTATACTACTTACTTTTTCCCACAGTTCGAACCCAGGTAAAAGAAAAGCTTTTGAACTCTTATTTTCAATGTGGACAGTTTCGAAGACTGATGTAACTCAGTTTTTCTCCTTCTATTTATAGCAATGTCATCTGAAGTCATCCTAAGTTACACTGACACAACAATAAGCTTGCATGAAATGATTTTATCCGAAATTGTTAGTTTTCTCTGTGAGGCGGGAATAACAACAACATTAATCTTTCATTTTTATTTGATGAACAATTCTTGATTTAGTTTCTATTTATATGTTTCTATAAAAGAATAAAAAGACTAGAGATGCTATTTCACTTGTTACATTTGCAGAGAATGAACTCAGTGGCCATGATGATAGGAAAAGATAGAAATGAATACGAATTGGAAAAAAAAAGAGAGAAAGAGAAATAGAAAGAGACGAGGAGAGAAAGTGAAAGTCTGAGATACGAACAAAGACAGAAAGGTAATAAACGTTCCAGGCATAAAGGGAAAGAAAACGAGACAGTGTGATATTGATAGGTAGATACGAGCAAACTAAGTCGGTGAGATAGAGATATCCTTCTATCTGCTCTTGAGTGTCAGCCGTTGGCTCTTTAAGCCAGCCAGTAGCAAGCAAATACACCTATCTGTGCAAGTTGATCATGTCACAAAATTGAGACATTTTACTTTGTATTTACTTTATCTATTTCTTTTTTAAAGAAATTTCAATCTTTCTTCACTCGTGTTCTTTTTTCTTTTTTTTTTAATTTTATCTGCCTTCATATCGGACACATCAGGTGTTGAGTGAGAATATTCTTATAAGTCTCCTTATACAAGGCATCACAGGATGTACGGAATTGTCAGTTAAGATGTTGGTTGTTTCCCAACGGAGAGTACGGTGATCGTACCAGAATATAAAACTGAATTTCAAATTCAGATATATAATCCTTCCTAATCGGGAAAACTGACTGAATGGAATTTTCCCTTTCCTCATTTGACGTTAAGGTACACTAAATTAGAGTTAGTCAATCTTTTTGTTATATATATATATATATATATATATATATATATATATATATATATATATATATATAAAAAGTGTGTATATAAATATCAATAATATATATATATATATATATATATATATATATATATATATATATATATATATATATATATGCGCGGTACTTATTAGAAAGCGCTCAATATCAGAGATATCAGCTAACATCATATATAGATATCATTTGTTATGGTTGTGTGATATTTCTGTCTTTTTTGCTGCCATATGTATAAGGATATGAGACAGAAATACCACACCAACAATAAGCTGGAAAGTATTGAAAAAAAGTTCCTGCCTACAGCAACATTACAAAAAAATGCCCACTTTGCCTACACGAAAAAGTAGCAATAATATCACACACATCGCAAAAGAATTTACTAAACAAAAGATCAGAGATTATCTCCAAATGTAGGCATGAGAATAAGTACCTATTATCCGAATTCATACGAAACGGATAAAAAAAAACAAAAAAAACACCAACAATCACTCTTTAATTCAAGCTACCATTACAATAATTAGATTTATTGTTATTATCATTGCACCAACATTAGTAATCACTTCTACCACTTTACAATAACTATTAACTACTAATATTATCATTACTACCAACTCTCAACACCATTACTGCCACATCACATCTACTATTAACATATAAATACACTATAATTATTAACGTAAATTACTCCCCCCACCATATTTAATACCACCAAATAAAAACCAATAAGATCAGAGGTAATTTCCAAATGTAGGCATGAGAATAAATACATATTACCAGGATTTATACCAAAATAAATAAATGAAATAAAATAAAATAAAACACCAACAACCACTTTTTAGTTCAAGCTAGCACCACAATAATTACATTTATAGGTTTTTTATTATTCTCCCACCAACATTACTAATCACTACTACCAATTTACAATAACTCTTAGCCACTTATATTATCATTGTCACTAATCCCCTTACACATTACTATCACATCACATCTACTATTATCATATAAACCCGTCATAATTATTAACGTAAACTTCCCCCCTCCCCCAGCATATTTAATACCACCATAAAAATAACCAATAAGGATTACAAACCGAAATTTCTACCAGTTACATATACACAGTCACCAAAAACAAGTAAATAACCAGCTTTAAAATAATAACAAATAAACTTTTTTTAAAAAAAATTAAAAATAAAAATAATAGTAATTTTTACCTATCATAATTCTACACAGACCCCACCACACGTATATACGTGCATGCGAGGAAATATTATTCAGCGAAAGAATTAAATAAATGCTCTGATTGCTGACATGTATACATTCACGAGACATTCACGAGAAATTTTCGCTACACTTCCAATCTTTGAATTTCAACATAGAAATGCGTATGTATAGACACAACACCACCCATATACATACCAAACTGTCCACATATGTCTATATCTGTATGAGTTCCGGCGGACGAGCCAGTGTGTATGTGTGTCTGCGTACCTCATCGGGTATACGGACATGCTTCTATGTTTGCGTTAGCCCGAGTGACATCACGACGACGATTCCCCCCACTCCCATAATAACACTAATACACGCAATCTACATAAACACAAAATTTTTAAAAAATTAATCAGTTTGACTGACGATCGCAAAAGCGTGAAACCCAGGATCACAAACTCACATCAATCCAACCAAATATATATATATATATATATATATATATATATATATATATATATATATTGTTGATGTTATAAATGTATAAATAAATAACAAGTAGGATATATACGTGTGTGTGTGTGTGTAAACTTCATATATAACTAATATATATATATATATATATATATATATATATATATATATATATATATATATATATATATATATATAAAAGAATAAGAATAAAGACAAAAAAAATTATCTTAGCTGACAAATAAATATCTCTCAGCACAAAAGTGATCTCATACACAATTTATCCAATGCATTAGTCATACAGAGAAATAAAGAATGCCACATTTATTAAAATAGAAAGTAACTTAATTAGACGGAAAATTCTCGAAGGTGCCGCTATCAAATCTTATGAAAATGTAAATCTCTGCCTCAGATTTTTTCAAATATTTCCATTCCTGAAAGAATGACACCATTCCCAAGCCAACACACATGACTATAAAAATCTTTAAAAAAAATATAAGAAAATGGTTAAATTCATAATCTCCTGTTATTTAAAAAGTATAATACATAAATTAATCCCAAACTAAAATAATTCAAATATTAATTCCTTAAAAAATGAAATTCAGCCACCTCATTTACACACTTTCGTTTATTAGACATTAAATATATTTTATGAACTTTCGAGAAATTCTTTTTGTAGCGCATAATGTTTATATTAGTTATAAAGACAAGTCCAAGAATTTAAATCATCAATTTTTTTGGTCAAATATAACCCCTAGTTACAAAAAATCTGTTCTGAATCGTAAAATAAAAATGCAATAAAACTAAGACATTATTTAATTAAAAATGCTTTTAATTGCTTTTATGAATAAAATATATTACGAACACTATTGTCTCACGAAAAAGAAAATTTTTCGATGATTAACGAATTTTTACAAGAATTGCTTGCATTTTTTTAGAATTTTAATTAGAATAATTTATAATTTAAATAAAACAATCTATTAATTTGTAGCGAATAAGTGATAGTGTTATTAAATAAAAACTATCTTCACTAATCATAAATGGAAAAGCTTACTATAATTCATCGGAACCCAATAAAAAGAAAAGAATTAAAAACTTTTTTGTGCTGATTTTTGTAAATATGGGCGTCCATACACAATATTATCATAAAATAAGAGCGGTAATTATAGTAAATTTAAAATTTGTAAGTTTGGGAAATATAGGTATATTCCGCTTTTTTATTTATTTCTTGCTTAAATTTGTTTTCATTCGGAAGATTGCGTTCAAGCATGAAACAGACTACCGCCATTCGGTGTTGATATCAATGTTTACATTTTTTATATTTACATATGCTCTATTCCAGATATATATATATATATATATATATATATATATATATATATATATATATATATATATATACTGAATGTTGATTTTTTTCGAAAAGGAGATTTAAAAATGTTATATTTTGAGAAATGGATCGGTGCTGTTTGAAGTGAATTCATACAGAATTATTTTTAAGGCTTGCAAACTTCATCCTACAGTTAAGTTTTTGCAGACCCAATAGGAATTGATGCTTCAAATTTTCTGAACTTTCTACCAAAAGTGGAGCTAGGCGCATTTTGACCAGCTTAGTACTTTAGTAAAATTTATTTATCCCTCATCGACATAGATAGATTGCATAATTTAATAGATTTACTTATGCATATATTATTTTGCGAGTATATGAAAGTATATATGAATGTATTCTAGGTATATAAAAATATGCATAATTCTCTCTCTCTCTCTCTCTCTCTCACACACACACACACACACACACACACACACACCTAATGATTTGAGTTTCCAAATGTCCCAACTACAAGCAATTTTTTCTTTTTCAGGATAAAAATCATTTATCTTTCAAAATAGACAATAATTATACTTTATTTATTTCATTTTTTCCCCCAAAATTCTTATGGAGAAAATTACCTCTGTCATCGATAGTAATGCCTCAAAGACATTGTACTTAGACCTGTTTATGATTCAAGAATTTAATGAAGATGGTGAAAACAATGATGAAAATGTATACTTTGAAGAAATTGGACATTTTCTGAAACATAAGAAAACAGGAAATCAAGTGTTTGTTTCACAAAGTGTGAATCACTCATAATACATGTCAATGGATTACGGAGATTGCATTATTTGAATGCAAGTTATTAAAAGTAAACTTAGCTACTCATCTCCAAATATTTATTCTTATCCTCGATTGTTAATAGATCTCTAGGCTTCAAGTGAGAGATACTTCGCCAGATATTGCACACCCTTTAACTTAACTTCTTTTATGTCCCTTTATGTCCCTTCAGAACGTAAGCGATCATGGTTCTCTACACCTTTCTTTTATTTGTAATATCTTTCAATTGTTATATCATTCTTGGAAAGATAGTGGAGTATTTCCCGTCGTCTTTTCCAAAGTTTTGAATTAATAGTCATTTATTACCAATATTGGCTGAAAAGTCAAGGCTAGAAAGTCCAGTTTGTTATGATATTTAACCTAAAGCTGCTGGAAGAAAATAGATCCACACATCTTTCCCACGGATATTTGAGGGGGAAGTGAGATTGCAATAGGGCAGGAATTTTAACTCCACTTGCTAATGATACACGTTGTGCTAAAAAGAAGGCTTGAAAGAAATTTCGCTAATCCCAATATAAAAATTATCGCAAACATTTTTCCAAAATACACACACACTACAATAGCCTGTTGGATTAAAACGTTAGTTCATGAATTTGGTAACATCGTAATTGTATCTTTAATCGCTGGGCAATTTATTAAACTTAGTAGAAATGCCTAAAATAAGAACAATGCGAGATATCTCTAAACATGGCCAATGGAACGAAAACAGTCTACTCTCGTAGATTAAATAAAGGACTTAGTTTGAGATTCCCT